GACCGGACTTCATGCAAAAAACCGCTAATCACGCATCTGGATGCCCGTGCGGCTCTATAATGCATCACCCTCATCACAACTGAGGCCCTTCCTCCTGTATGCTGAAAGGGGCCAAAGCACGGCCAATATGAACCCAAGTGTTAGGCTACAGCGTAAGGATCATTCTTGCTAATAGCGATCTGCGAGTTTAGTGCAAAAACGCATAATCGCACCGGAGAGCCTGGTGCGTTCCGGACTGGGTTTGTTACTTTATATTTACCTTGCGTACTCATTCGCATAAATCATCGTAAATTTTGCATGAAAATATAAGTGACCAGTGCACCGACTGCCGGTGCGAAGATGCGTTTTTTGCACAGTTCCATGCAGATTTTTGTCGCCAATGACACTGTTTTTTTCCGGCAGAAGCTTGTAGCTAAAAGAATTGAGACTGGTCGCAAGGGCCGCTGAGAAACATCCCCTTAAAATTTGAACCTTCTAACTTTTCAGTTTCCTGAGTTAGCAACTTACTCGCAAAAAACTTTCATGGACCCGTACATGGGAACCAACGTGTCGGGGAGCTAGGTTTGAAATCATTAAGACCTATGTGGGCGGGGAAAATTCCCTTAAATTAAAACTTTCTAGCTTTTCAGGTTCTTAATTTAGCAACTTACCCACAAAAAACTTTTACTGGCAAAATCGCACATCTGGAGGCTGACTTTGAAGTTACTAGACCGTGCATTGATGAGGAAAATCCCCTAAAAATTCAGCTCTCTAGTTTTTCGGGATCTCGAGTTAGCAGCTTACCAGCAAAAATTCACGGGCCCGTATATGGGAACTATGCATACCCGAGAGCTGGGTTTGAACTCACTAATACCTACATAGTTGGGGAACATCCTCTTAAAATTTTAGCTTTCTAGCTTTTCTGATTCCCGAATTAACAGCTACTTGCCAAAGCTTTGGCGGGCCCGTACAGGTAAACCACCTGGATGAGAGAGCCCATTTTGAGGACTGGGACCCGTACGTGCACGTGAATTAAGTTTCCAAAGTTCCAGCGCTGTAGCTTTTATAGGTTTTGAGATAAAAAATCGGTACAGATGCGCATACAGACAACTCTCGACAATATGTGTTTTTCGCATTGCATAGATGCAAAAAGCGCATAAAAATGAACAATTTCTGTTTAACAGGCGTTCTTCAAAAATGACTTGCTGTTAGATAAGCAATTTGCTCTTCAGCAGTACTCACTGTTACCATGTGGTACCCAGTGTTACCATGCGAGACTTTTTGTTTTTTGTTTTACTTGTTTCTTGCAACTTTTCCATAATTTCAGATTCTGACTATCAGACCAAAACAAATAAAATCCCATCAGTTATGAATCCCGCACGAACCTAATAACATCTAGCACAACCACACTAAAAAAGCCTTCTGCAGACCAAACCGCATGCAGAACAAACCCTAAAAAACTCTTCATTGTCACAACTGATATTATTTGGATGGAACGTGCTGAAAAAAAAAAATCTAAATTTTTTTGCTTGCCCAACAAGCAATTCAAATTTTCGAATTACCGATAAACCTCTCCCACGTCTCCTCTTCTTTTCTTGTAACTCGTTGTTAGCGTAACCTGTAGTAGGTTTTGCAAGTTATTACCAATTTTTTTAATTTGTTATTAATTGCCGATAACGGGCTCACATCCTTATTTCCGGATATGCTAGTTTTGTATTTTTTTTTTTTAAATTCTTTTTTCCACTTTTGACAATATAGCACTAAATCAGGACGGAATTTGGTTTGGTAATTTGCTGAAGATCCACCATTGCTTTCTCCACATGTCGGTACGGTATTTTTCCCCTCAATTTACTACATTTTGCCACCACTTTTCACTTTCTACACTGTCTGTCTGTAGAACATGAAAGAACGCCTTTATTTTTGCTAAAAATTGTTGATTCTAGGTTGCTGCTGGTATATTTGGTGGAAATACTGCCAAAAAAGGATCGAATTTGGGTGACAACAGTAATTAGCTGGTCACCAAATGTAATCCTGTTTGCGATTATTGCATACCACAGTAAGAACTGGCGGACATTAGCAATAGCAAGCAGTCTTCTGGCCCTCCCGGGTGTATTTCTTTTCATGTTTGTTTCTGATTTTGTTTTCTTTTAAACTGAGCAATTTATGAAGCAGTCTTACTAAAGATAATAAATAACTGCTTACACCAGAGGTGACGGTGCGATCGTGCGTTTTGCAGAGTTTCTGCAGCAGTAAGATCGTTAACAGTAAAAAAGTTCACCGCCACGCTGTTTGATTATGTGCGCTAGTACTGGAAATACTTCTTTTGGCGTTTTCTTCTACTTTCGGGGGAAGGAACGATCGGATAAGCCGACGCCGTTGCACTTTTCACCAAAAGCTCTTTTACTTGCCCGCAGCGGATGTAAACTTTCATTTTATGTCTGTGGATCTATAAACAACAGAAGACTAAGTTGTCAAGGTTTCTGCTTTATAACTTCATAGATCCGAATTTCGAAACATGAAGATAGACGTTACACGCACAGTTCACCTAACTTATGCGTTTTTTGCACTGCAAAGATACAAATGACGTATAAAAAGAAAAACAAAATTATCTACGCCTTGGACGACACTTGGCGCCTTCTAAAAAATACTTCCACATCGCCCCCTTCAGTGCGGGAAATGACCGTCGTATGTTGCAGGTGTGCATATGTGTCATCCAGACTCATAAAGGGAGGTGCCATGTGCGATAAGTCAGTGTAAAAGACTCCGAGAAATCGGTAAGGAGGAAATGAATTGGCAAGTCAGGAATTCCAAGTTGTATATAACTGCGAATACCGACTATGAGTACAAATGCCTGATTAATAAGCCTTTTGAGTGCGTAAGGCGATCAGGACGTGCTTGATCTTGATGGTGGGATTCAAGGATTTCTGCTGCTGCGAAAATGCTCTTAGAAAAGGAAAGAATCTTGAAATGAAAATTGAAGAGGCGTCGACAATGATCTAATTAGCAGCAGATTCATTAGTAGGGGCATGAAACCTAGAAAACTCAATTTGCTGGAGAGCCGTGTGGTTAGATTAGAAATAATTAGAAATGTATTTAGAAATATTAGTTAGAAATATTATTAGAAATTAATTAGTGTAATAATTAAAAATATATTTATTAAAAATGTTTAGAAATATTTATAATTATTTAGCGTGATGATTAGATAACTAGGAATATATTTAGCAGTGTAAGAAGGAAAAAACAACCAGGTGGCGGCGTACCAGGCTTGCCGGTGTTATCACGCGTTTCTGCGCTGAAACTGAAGCAGTCAGATTAACAATTCAATGGTTTCTGCGCTGCAGCTTAAAACCTGGACACATGTTGGCTCCGTTTTAGCCTTTTTTTTGTATGCTGAAGGAAAAGGATGTCAGCTGGAACGGTGATGCTGCGTCATGGGGTTGCGTGAAACTTTGGCCCCTACCGTTCTTCATTTCCGCAAATTTATTTAGCGGGCGGTCGTTCATCAAATCATTAGAGAAGTGCACCAGGCGGGTCCATGCGATCATGCTTTTTTACAGTATTTCTAGTAAGATCGCTCGGCAACCCAGTGGCTGGAATTTGTGATACACTGGTGCTCAAAGCTCGGAAGTTAATTGTGTAATTCTCTTAAATTTTTAACTCCCGAAATTTTCTGATTCCCGAGTTAGCAATTTCCCCGCCAAAAAATTTCATGGCTCCTTATATGAGAACTACGCACACCTGGAGCGGCAATGAAAGGGGGGGGG